TTGTGTGTGTGTGTGTGTGTGTGTGTGTGTATACCCATCTGATCTATTTAAAGTTACGTCACTATATGGACATATTTCAGGATTTTGATACTTTTGATTTTTTTTTCTTTTTTTAGTACATTTTCCAAGTTTTCTTCACAACCAATGTTTTGCTTGGCTTGTCGCACTACAGGTGTACACTACTGCTTCAGTATATGGCCCATTTTAAAAATTATCTTTGTCACATCTTTTTCATCTTTGTGTTATTGGATTGGATTATTTTAATAGCATGACTTTGAGGTGATAAGAAATTAAGCTCAGAGATTAATTAAACAAGGATACTTCACATTTTCCATGGGGATAAAGGACAAACATATTTAAAAAATTAAGCTGAAGGCAGATACAATTTAACATGGAAAGTACATTCTTTATTGGAATTGTGACATGTTTCACATATGCGGGGAAATAATATCATGATTTTATTTTCTATGACTCTCTGAGATAAATAAAGTTTGGAGCTTTCACATTAGGTGACAAAAGGGATGTTAAGATATATTTTTTTTGCAAGTTCAGATAGTAAAACTGGCCACGGTGTTACATTCCTGACATGAGTATCACAGTGGCAGGAACAACATTTATCCCCCTTCGCAACCTGAAGGCACTTGTGACGCAGATTTTATATTCAAAGAAAAAGGTAAATTTAACTGATGGTTGGTTTAAAAAGTATTTATCTTTTATGTGAAACACCAAAGAAAGAACCATAGAAAGGAATAGTCTAAGCTACATTTTGGTAATTTTTGTATTGATCACTAAATTTGAAAAAAGGGTTCTTTAGTAGTGCAATCTTTGCCATAAACTTTTCAGTTTTCTGGCCAATTGGACCACCAGTTTCCTAAAATCTACTGCATTTACTTAGGTCCAAGTAAATTTTTGAATAGACTAGACATTTTCACAATTGCATTACTATTTGTAATAACAAGACACTGATTCTGTCAAATGGGGTTAGATCCAGTGGAGAACTTCTTTAACTACAAGCAATAAGTTGAAGAAATACCATGGGCAGTTTTTAAAGAATGTGACTTTAAAAAAGTTTGAATCAGTTGCAGCTAAATAGTGTTACACTCATGACATTGTGGCTATATTTTCAGCTTTTCACTTTTACTTTTATTTTATTTTATTTTATTTTTTATTTTTTTTACTTTTTTTGCAGTAATGAACAACCTTGTGGGGAGATAAAACAGTGTTATAAGTTGTAAATTGCAACAATTTTTACAAAATTTCTAAAATCTCATTCAAAAATTTTAAAACAGCCCATAAAGATATTTTTGAAAATCATGCAGCAACAGATGGGTATCCATTAAAGTTCGATTCCTGGTCTGGTAGGTGATTTTTCTGCACTCACCCCAAATCGCTACATTACTATGGAAATTCATTCTAAGAAAACCAGATATAATTACANGTTTTACATTACAGCAATTTTTACAAAATTTCTAAAATTTCATTCAAAAATTTTAAAATAGCCCATAAGGCTATATTTGACAATCATGCAGCAATAGATGGGTATCCAAGGAAGCTTTGTTACTATGGAAACACATTCTAAGAAAACCAGATATAATTAAAGTTTTCTAGGCATGTGATTTCCTGTTTTTCCACTCACATATATATATTATATACCTGATCCTGCCAGGTGTCTAATAACAGAGATGCCAACCTCTAGAAATCTAAAATCTGGAGATTCTAAAATTTTTCTCAATAAGGGGGGGGGTGGGGGGGGGGGCTGCTGCCGTTGTGATCAGGTGCTTAGTAGGGAGTGGGGTGGGGGACCCCTATCTTAAACTATGAAGTTTTCAAAAGATCACCCAACTATTCTGAAGATAAATCGACAGGGCGTTAGCTGACAGTGGTGCAAATTTTCAAAGTCGCTTTTATCCGGGAGATTTGGTTACCTGTACGGGTGACGGGGAGATTCGTTCTGTATCCGGGAGACTCCCAGATTATCCTAGGGGAGAGTCGACATGTATACAACAAGCCCATATGAATGTCTCCCAGACGACTTTGACTTCAGGAAAACTTGGATGACTGAACAACGTTTTGTGTTGATTAGATCTATGATTTTGTAGAAACAGAATGAAAGACGCAAATGTAGATAAGATTTGTTTGTTATCATTAACCAGAAGTCTTAGAGCATTAATCAGAAGGGAAGCAAATAGTCTTTATACTTACCCAATAAACTAAAATGCACTCCTCTTCGATTGTGTTAACTTGCAAAACTACATGTATTCCGCGCGTAAGGCGAGGTGCCAGTGGCGATTGAATGGGAAAAGATGACATTTTGTTACGTTGTTAATAATCCTAGATATGTTCCATAACGTGCGAAATGCCTGAAATAGTATTCCGATCCGAAAGAACAAGTCTGTTGATGAAAAAAAAGACCCGCAGTGAAAACGCAATCAACATATCTGTCACAACTAACACACTATATCGGAGGAGAATCGGGGCACATCAAGCGCATCCCACTTCAAGATATTTCGGTCAAGAGATCTTTTGATTTTTTGTTCAAATATAAATTGATAATATTTTGGTTGAAAAGGATTTGAATTGGTCATTATTTAAAAGGAAAATAAGTTATTTTTTACACTCCCTTTTTATTTTAATTTTCTGGGATAGTAGGTCTACCGGTATTGCCCGATATATAGATCCAGGATCCAGGATTATTTGAAGGGGGGAGGGGGTCCGCCTACTCGAGCTTATGACGTAGCAGCAGCTTTTTTAGGCTGAAAACTGTAAGATCGATTTCAAGCAGATTTCCCTCACCTGAACATAATATACATGTGTAATGTGGGCATCAGCTAGACTAGTTTTATTATTTCTCCAAGGCGACTGAACTACCAACCCCGAAGTAGGCTACTGTACACTGCACTGCACCTACGTGTATGGTGAATGTTGACATTTTCTCTTTCCGGTTGTAAAGACAACGCACACCAACAACATAATGTACAGCGAGGAACCATAGATATTGGTTCACTATGTGTCGTATCCCGCCCCTCCCTGTACTGTAACCCTTATGTACACAAGCAAGCTGTCTGTTATTTCAGTCAACTCTATCATTTATGGCAGCAGTTTATCGCATACGTGGAACCCCACCTTCAAATAATCCTGGATCCGCCCCCTGTGTAAATCTGTCGAAGAGGAAATGCGTCGAAGAGAGCCACGGTCCCCAAGAAGTATAAATTAGAGCGGGAGAGTGCAAGGGAAGTCTTTATTTGAGTAGTTAAAATATGTATATTATCACTAGCTGGTGAAACACTACATGTATTTCGGTCTAATTTTATCACAGGTGAGGTGAAAATAACTTAGCCTAAGATTTGGTCATTAGAGAAAGAAATCTCACACGATGAACTTCTGAGAGCTGTCTTAAATAGAAATTAAAAAACCAAGTTTTCAGCTCACCGTATTTACACCTGAACAAAGTTGATCAACCATGCCAGATTAGGAATGGGAGGAAAAAATGTCAAGTTTGAACACATGCTCATTCGCCGCCAGTTTTAACTCGACTGCTGGGATCGTGTGATGGGCGGTCACACTTGCCAATACTTCCATGTACCTACCAGTGAATAACCAGTTATCATGCACGAATGGTAACAGTTTACTTTACGGATGACAGGCTTCAGATGTGAAGCCGACCCTCGCCCCCTCCTCCATCCCCTTTGACGTGGGGTTCGGGGCCCGCTGAAGGGTACCGAAAATTTTTGGTATGTTAGAGGGCGAACAGTGCCATTTGCTACGGTCTAAAACTATGATTAAGCTGGTCAAGAGAGGAGTATTGGTGTGGTTTAATATCCAGGAAATGAAGGGGGGGGGGCAGGACCCCCCTGAGACCCCCCTAAACCAGTCACTGCTCAGGCTGCAGTGTTTTGCCTGTGCTGCGGTCTCGGGGTCATTGTGACGACTTGCACAAAATCCATGCGTTGTACTGGTTGTGCTTACGGACGGCAGGAAAGGTCTCAAAAAGTGTTAAATTTCGACCAGTTTGCGCTCCCACAAAAAAGAAGAAGAAGGAGAAGAAGAAATAGAAGCCTGTCCCTTCCTGTGTTGACGTGAAAAAAGTGGGCAGGGGGCTTTAAAAACACCATTCCTTTTTATAGCCCGCGCTCCAACTACCCTGGGCAGCCGTAGGTGTGTGAGGAGGAGACCTTCCCGCTATATATTTTGAAATAAGCCATTGATGTTGTGATTTTGTCATGTAAACCAAATATTAGTCTTCAAAATGGAAGCTGGTACCTCACGACAACCATGATTATATTTTTAACCAAATATGCTTATCACGAGTGTTGCATCTGAATTTTCTTGATTATTCATTTCATGTGTTCATAGAAAGTTGATTTTCAGATAACAGTTTAGTCTGCAATAAAAATGAGAAATGTAAATCATGCAATTAATTTTTAGAAACGAGATAAATGAGTATGCTCTTAGTTAAGAGTAAAAAATAAAGTCAACTGGTAATTTACTGCATTTGGATTGCAGAAAAAAAAACATGCAGTCACATATATGATCCCTGAATTTGACAGTTTTTTTTTTATTTTCTACCACTATTAATTGCAAAACCTTGTCAATTTAGACTTGTTTTCCAACTAGTCATAGTAAATGACGTCAAATTTTACAAACATGATGCCTACCACATTAAAAAAGGACATTCTTTTTCAAATGAGTGTCAAAGAACTTACATTGTAGTTTAATACCAGTGGCAGATTTAGGGGGTGTGTCAGTGGGGGGCCTGACCCCCTTCGATTTCTGAAAAAAAATCACACCAATGGTCCCTTCTTGAAATTAGAATTTTAACTAGCTGAATCGTTGTATAAACTGTGCCAAATGTCACCATTCACTTTCTGAAATACCAAAATTTTAGGGGCCCTTCAGCAGGCCCAGAGCCCACGCTAAGA